TGGGACTACTGGCCACTTGTACTTTTTGAAAAATTTGCTTCTTCGTTCTCTAGGCTCCTGGGACAGCAGCAACCTCTCCTTCCACCTCCCCTCCTCCCAGCTATTAATGTCTACCATTTCCTCTGAAATCTAGTCCCAGATCTGAAACCAAAAAATAACTTTAGAAAAGGAGACCTGGAGTGAGAGTAAGGTTTTTACTTCCTTAATATTTTTTTGTTCTGCCCTTTCTCGCCCCCTGCCTGCATTCTTTTCATGAGAAAAATTACTATAAATCTATTTTCATTTGAGAGAAAAAAGAGTGGGAGTTAGGGAGTGGGGTTGGGTGGATGGCCTCCAAAAGTCCCACATTTTCTCATTTGTGGGCAGTGTTATACACTTCACTCAAAGCAATCTTAATGTCTTCTGGGGCCTAGCAGATAACACAACCCTGTATAAGCTAATCAGTGTGTCTGAGAATGTATAAATCTTCGAACTAGGCAAGTCTTCTAAACAAGAGAGCTACAGACTATCACTTGCATCAGTTAGCAAAGAAGGGGCATGGAGCCCTCAGAAGCCAATAACAAAGAAAATACTGAGTAGAAACCACAACTGTGTAGTAGTTATCTGTCAGATAAACAGGCATGCACAAGTGACAAAATGAGTGGCATACAAAGAACATTACAAAATATATTTGGGTACAAATAGAGAATATCATCTTTAACATAGGTGTTAGAGGAACACTGAGAGCAAAACAAAATTGGCTGAATTAGCATCTATCAATTACTGGGGAACCATTTCACTGACTGATTTAATGAACTCAGTGATTCACCTACAGCAATGATTGAACATTTTTATATTGGGGAAAGTAACAAAATAATGTCAGAATATGGAGTCTGCTGTAGGCTATTCCCTAATAGTTCAGATATAAGGTTATTATCTGAGTATAACTGTTTAAATCCTTAGACAATATGGGAGTAAATCAAGAGACTGAATGTTTGGGAATAGGCAAAACTCCAGGGAAATTCATATAACTGTAACTTTTGGGAGGCAGTACTAGAAAAATGACTGAAATTTAGTAAAAAAAAAGTCAAATCAACTATATTATTCTGTGTTTAAAGAAATATCATGTGCATTGAAGGGGCTCATTTAGGCATGGAGTATATGAAAAGGAGAGTCAGAGGAAAGTATTGGTAGTTCCCACCCAAGCACAGTCTGGAGAAGAGGGAGTCTTGGCTAAGATGACTGGAACATTTAGCTTTTCTTGGCAGAGCTATCCCCATGATGTGCAAGAGTACTTCAAGCCTCCTTAGCTGCAAACCATCTCTTAAGGTGAACCAATATTCTTGCTCTGATTGCAGGCTCACAGCAACTTCCTGAGGTATGATTTCCCAAATAGTAGTTTGCCTACAGGAAAAGAGTGGGCTGGTAAAACTGACAGAAACCTCCAGTACCCCTGACAAATTTATTTCTCAGGGTAAACTATTCGGTCCTAATTCCTATTGAGACAACTTCCCTTATGGCCTGATTACAGGGAAAGGATGCAGAGAGCCATGGTTTGGACATTCAGATCTAGATTTATATACAAGTCTCTATGAATGTGGGTCTTTTTTTGACAGAAGCATCTACTCTCAGCCTACCGACAAAATCAGTGGTTGATCATGCAACAATGAGGATAAGACCCTGAACTGTAGATGCAACTCCGTGGAATCCTCTCAGGGAACCAGGTAGCTTTGGCTTAGAAGACAACCTGTGCATCACCATTTTAGAATTATACCTCTTTAATGTTCAGTTAATGTGAAAATTAAGGTATGCTGTGGTAAATAGGTTACCAGCCCTCAGTCACAGCTGGACAATGGGTTAGTATCCAAAGTTGCTAAAAGGCTCCTGCAAATCAACAACATCTGAAACAGTTTAAATTTCTCTCAGAAAAGAAAGTGTATTTTACATACTCTTCATTTTCTACAGCAAAAGAGTGGGCATTGTACACAGTACAGACCAACTGAAAACTAAAATTTATATCTTGAACCTTGATAAAAATTGCAAGTTGGTGGAACTATGGCATCCTGAAGATGCCATAGACCCCACAGAGCTGATCCTGGTTTTCAACATCTTCTCATTGTTTGAGTTCACCAGGTTTGGTTTCTGTTGCTTGTACCCAAACAAGATCAACTAATACACAATGTAAAAAATAACAAAATCCAAAAATAATATAGATTAAGATAACAATATTCTATAATTTATTTTTCTCACCCTCTATAATGTCTTTAGTGTTATCATCTGCCTATCTTTTCTTTCCAGACACTTTGTAAGTTACAGGTCAAATATGACCACATACTGATTAAAGCCAGAAGGGTCCTTTAGATACTGACTTCCCATAGCCTTTTGCAGGCTCAGGAACTTTCAACAGGCATGTCTGAGGAAATGCTTAAGGATTTTCCTTTTTCACTTTTGAAATGGTCAGGCAAATAACATGCCCTTAAATATTTGTTGGTGAATGTATAATGGAAAGCAAAGTAAATTTTAAGTGCTAGTCCCAACATTCCTTGGTAGGAATTGTAGATCAAAATGACAAAGAAGTAAGAGAATTGAAAGGGTTATTATTCCCATGGGGTTTAGGAAGTTTTATAAGGGGAGTGGATTTAAACAGGAAAGGTCTGACAGAATGGGAAAATGGTGGTCAGGGGTTATACACTGGAACAATTGGAAATATGCCAAAGGAGAGAGTTATTGTATATTAGTAAGGAGAGGTAAGAGTGGAATGTTTGTCCTTGAAGCTTTGTTAAGCTTTACATACTCCTAAATTCTTTCTTATGCATATATTTAAAACAAATAAAAACCACTTACATAAATATTTAGTAGCCAAAAATTGAATGATGGACAGTTGAACCTTCAAGTTCTGTTTGTACAGCTTAATAAATAGAATTCACTTGTCTATGATAAAATAAAGGATGAGAGAAAAAACAGTATAAGGCAATGATGGCAAAACAAATGAAGTAGGGGTTTAGAGAAAGGGAGTACAATTGGTGAGTGAGTTTGCACTATAAAAGTTTGAGGAAAACCAGAAAGTTGTGACCTGTTCTTGACTTCTGAATATTCACCAGCAAGGCACTCTGGGCTCCCTGGCTAATCTCCTGAAAGGGCCTCCCCCCACAGGGCCTCTCACTTGGGGAGCTTCCTGCTGGGTGTCATATTTCAATGTTCTAAGAAGGAGGCTGCCTTAAGGGTCTATATTTAGCATATGACTCCCCAGCAGAGACAGCTGGATGTCTGGGGACTAATTTCTGCATACTTTGTCCCTGAGTTCTGGGATTATTTTGGGGGGCTTGTAGGGATGGTTCAGTGAAATTTTAACAAAAGACAGCAAATGAAAAGGTCTCTATCTTCTGCAAACTGCTTGGGATTCTGTGAACTGTGCTTTTTGTGAGGGGAAACTACATGGATCTCAGGGGTGTTGCAGTGATTTTCAGACACCCACAGACCCTCATTACTATCTCTACTGGAAAATTCAAAACACTAACCACTGCTTGAGCGACATAGCACATGAATGATAGACACCAGAGATATCGCACGAGGCTCATAATTAAATGAAAAGTCCATCTATTGAATCTCACTTTTATCAATGGGATAAAAGGGAATTCTCTAATTTCTGGATGGGTTACACCATGCAACTTCAGAATAGATTTTAAATAAAGACCTTTGAATGAGGAGCAGGCTAATCTGTGAAGTTACTAATTTGTAAGGTACATTTGAAGATATACGATTCATTCGAATTTGGGGGTCTACATAAAGTCTGTCCTTTGAAAACCATCCAGCAATCTTCTCAACCTTCCTAATGCTGTGACCCTTTAATACAGTTCCTCATGTTGTGGTGACCCCCAAGCATAAAATTATTTTCGTTGCTACTTCATAACTGCAATTTTGCTACTGTTATGAATCGTAATGTAAATATCTGATATGCAGGATGTATTTTCATTGTTCACGACCCACAGGTTGAGAACCGCTGTATGAAGATCTCAGTAATCTGATGCCTAATACTATGAGTTCAGCCAGGAAGAAGGGATAGTAGTTCACTTATCTAAAATACAGTGGGGCCTTGACTTACGAGTGTCCCAACTAACGAGTTTTTTGAGATACCAGCTGTCAGTCAGCAGATTTTTTGCATTGAGTTGATAGACTAATTTGAGTTAACGAGCTCCTTAATGAGCTCCTTAACAGCTCGGTCTCAGAACGAATTAAACTCAGAATTAAACTCGTAAGTCAAGGCCCCACTGTAGTCATAATGAAAATGCTGACCACCTCACTATAGATTCATATTGTCCATCAACTTATAAATAATATCAAAAACACACTGGTTTGTTTATTAGGATATGTTTTTAAATTTTAATATGCGGTTTGAAAGTTGCTATTTCCTGTGCAGTCAGAGAAAATATTCTTAATGCAGTACAAATTAACAACCAAATCAATGAGGCCTCCCTGTTAACTGGGAAATCTTTATAAGTATAGATACAGATACTTGAATTCTTTTTTTTCCTAAGTGGCATAACTTTATTGTATTTTCTGATTACAAAATAATGTAGCTTGAGTCAATAAAAAAATGAAAGGAAGGAACAATTAGACTATAACTGAATCAGAAATATTAATAAAAACATCACTACTACTTGGGCTTCCTTTTTTGACTACACACACACACAATTTTGGTGCAGTGATTGCATGTGTAAAAGGGTAGAAATTAAGGGAGGGGAGGCGAGAGTTTTGGAGCCAAGGAAACGGATAAAACATTTCTCCAAGAAGTATAAGTAAACGGTAGACCCAAGAAAAGGTGCTGCCCCTTCCTGTAATTAGAGAAAGGCCAATTCAAATACCAGAAAGCCATAACCACTTCTGGTCTCTGCTATTGTTGTAGAAGAAAAGAGTAGCGGAGACCAGTTTGATGGGGGGAGGTACGGGGCAGGCTGGCGCCTGCCGCACAGCTTATGGGAGTGGAAATTGGGGGCCAGAGCTCACTGGTGACGTGATCCTCACGTGACCAAGAGCTGCCTAGAGCTCAACTCCTTGCTAGTCGCTTCTGTCTGGGTACCAGCCCCCTATTACTCTGCGGGCTTATGAACGAAGGAGGAAACTAGCTTCGGATTGTGCAGGTCGGTGGGAGTGTGGGCTCAGCTTGGAGAGAGGTGGGGGTGGGAGAGGGCCAAGAATGCCACTGATCCAGGTTCGGGCAGATTGGGTCTGTGTCCCTTTCTTACCTACTTTCTAAAGAGCACCTCCAACCCTTCCATGCCGTGCCCATTTTAACAGAGAACTGTCTGATGCAGTATGTGTGTGTGTTTGGGGCGGAGCTGGGGCTGAGGGGTGTGAATGGCGGTTACTGAGACTGCAAGGAAAGAAAAGGCACGCAATCGGGGCACTCTTGTTCTGAGCGCTGCTCAATCCACCAAGAACTCCGTCTTCTCAGTTCCCTGTCTGTCGACAGATTTTTAGGTCTGTTGGCCCATAGATCGCCACAAAAGTCGCGGAGGGAAGCAGCAAACTGTCTTGGGACCCTGCAGGTCCCTATGAAAGTGGGATGAGCCCTGGACCCTTGGTGGCGAAAGGGGTGGCGGAGGAAAGACTGTTGGGATTAGAGCCGGCCAGTCCCAGTCGCCCTCTCCAGGCCCCTTCTTTCTCCACACCCCCTCCCATTTCGGTGCAGGAAAAGGGGTGTGGCAGCCTTTGCTGGGGAAATGGCGGACGACAAGGGGGAGGGGGCGGGGAACCCTGCATAAGGAAAGCTGGAAGGGTGTGAAATATTTTCAACTCAAAGGCTGAAATTTCAGAAAAGCAAGGGTTGTGAACTGTGTTCTCAGTGCTTTTCCATCCATTACACTTTCAGTCTTCATTGCTGGCTGTCTTTCCATCTGTCATTCTGCTAGACTGTCCATCAAGAACTGTGGAAGGAGCACTGACAACAGAAGACAAGAAGAAGGAGGAATTTACCTGACTTTGGCAGAGGTTGGTGGGAGAAACTGCCTGTGAACCTTTGGGGATAGGGGTGTGATGGAGGAGGAGACTACCCGAGGGTTAGCCTCTCTATGTCATCTTACTGGCTGTCATAGCACAACCCCAACTCTTGCCCTTCTCTGCAAGGCCTGGAAGAGAAATAGTGGGTCCTGAGGGTAGAGAGAAGATGATGCACACACAAACATCGAAGAAATAGCTTCCTAATAAGCCACCTCTCTAAACCAAAACTCAAAATCCATTCTGTCTGTTTGGTGAGGCACAAACTTAGGCTCAGCCCAAGGTACTGAAATTACTTTTTCACCCATAGATTCATCACAAGACAGCTACAGGAGTCTGAGAGAGGCTAAAGATCACTGCTCTCCACCATTACAGAACCTAGCTCTAAAATTCCTCTTCAATCAGGTGGAGAAGGGCCCTCTCCTGTCCTTCCACAAGGCTGACACAGGCTTGAACATGGGCCGGGCTCGGGAAGTGGGTTGGATGGCCGCAGGACTAATGATTGGAGCTGGTGCCTGCTACTGCGTTTACAAACTAACCATAGGAAGAGATGACAATGAGAAACTGGAGGAGGAGGAAAAGGAATGGGAAGACAACCAAGAGCTGGATGAAGAGGAGTCCCAGATGTGGTTTGATTTTATAACTATGGCTCGGCCCTGGAATGAGGATGGGGACTGGACTGAACCAGGGGCCCCTGACGGAACAGAAAACAGGCTCTCAGGTGGGGGCAAGGCCAATCGAATACACCCAACAAGACAGCGTCCATTCCCCTATAAACATAAAAATACTTGGAATGCTGAAAGCCTTAAAATTTTCAGTTGTACTCTTGGCCTCTCCAAGGGTCCTTTCATTCAGGGGAAAATGTTTGCTCAGCCCGAGGATGCTGGTTTTTCATTTAGCCACAATATCAATAGTCATTTGGCCAGCCTCTCCATTGTTGGAAACACGATCCCCACTCCCGACCCCACTGTTAAGCAGGCTTTATGTGCCCTGGATAACGAGAGTGCCAGTGTGGAAAATCAGGGCCAGATTAAGATGTCCATCAGTGAAGTGTGTCGGGAAACTGTGTCACATTGCTGCAACTCATTTCTGCAGCAGGCCGGATTAAATTTGTTAATAAGCATGACAGTTATTAATAACATGCTTGCCAAATCCGTTTCAGACCCGAGGTTTCCTTTGATATCAGAGGGAAGTGGATGTGCTGAGGTTCATGTTTTGAAACAGTTGATGGGTTTGTCTGAAAAACCAGTCTTGGCAGGGGAATTGCTGGGTCCCCAAATGCTGCTCTCATTCCTGTCCCTCTCTATCAGGAACGGAAACGGACAGGTTCTCCCGGACACCCTGGCCTCTTAAAAGACCATCCCAAACAGAATGGGACCAAATCTACCCAAAACCCGTTTGGGGAGCACGCACTTGTGTTCTCATTCAAAGACTCTGCAGAGGGTGCTATAGAAGATCCAGCCTTAGCCATCACCGCATCATGGGGTGAAAGTCACACTTGCTAAATCGAGGGCCACGTTACTATTGGCGGGGCGGGGGTTCCCACTGAGCTCTGAGTAACTTCTGGTTGTGCAGTCTACAGGTAATGTGCATTGTAAATTACTTCCTCACTTCTTCCTGTGGTAAAGGGCTCATTGCAGCTGCCAGCTGTGGACAAAGCATCAGGAAGGATGCTTGCCTTTGGTGGTCTCCCTGTGTAAGCTGGACTGTCTTGTGGAGACCAGACACATATCGGAGCTTGTGCTGAAAATGCTGTTGTTGCTGCATACGTCAAATTCTTTTTCGTTTACTCTTTCTTCTACACCAGCCGATGGATGGTGAGCCCATTCATCAGAAAAGTGCACTCCCTTTCCATGTTCTGTGCTGACTTAACCTCATCCACCCAAGTCTACATGTGTATGTTTCATCAATAAACTTGTGTGCTTTGACTGGCGAAAATGAGACATGGTACTTGTCCTTGAGTTGACAGTGTGCATGAGGAGAAAGACAAAACTGCAGGATAAATGCTAACTGGGTCAGGGAGGAGGGAAGGGAGGCATTCGCTCCGACAAATGCACTCTTATCAGTGCTCACAGGAGGCAGGGGCAGAGATGGGCGGCAGTGTTCAGGAAAACCTCAGCAAGGGGTTGGGGGCTGAGGGAAGGTGAGGGCATGGAGGGGGTTTGGTGGAATTAGGATAAAATGTTGGGAGGACTGAAAGAGACAACACCTGTGAAGCAGGCAGCACAGTGCCTGGCACCTGGCACAAAAAAATTCCTTGATGAAGGTGTCTTTCCTTGACTGCCAGCCTAGAGAGGAATGTCAGTATCCTTGGGTTTGTCTACACATCCTTGGGGGCCACTGGGCAACCCATCCCTGCACATTTAATGGACGATTGCAGCAATAATGGTTTCCACTTGCTGAGTGTCTACTTTGTGTCATTCTCTTCTGGGAAGCTGCTGTTAAACCTACTTCCAGAACCCCTCCTTTCCTTGGGGTCCCAAGACCAAATTCCTGGCAGAGTGAGAAGAGTTGGCTGCCCCTGTTTCTCTTGGTGGAACTACCTTTCTGCACCATCCCTGGAACCTTCGGTGGGATCCAGGAAGAGGAGAGTGGAGTTCTCCACCAACTTCCCGTGGGGGTCATAGGGCAGACTCTGGGGGTGCTTGGAATGGCTGTGGCTATTCCACTGATCAAGAGACACATCCTCCCCTCCATCCAAGCTCCCAATACCCCTTAGAGCAGCGGTTCTCAACCTGTGGGTCGCGACCCCTTTGGCGGTCGAACGACCCTTTCACAGGGGTCGCCTAAGACCATCCTGCATATCAGATATTTACGTTATGATTCATAACAGTAGCAACATTACAGTTACGAAGTAGCAACGAAAATAATTTTATGGTTGAGTCACAACATGAGTGAGGAACTGTATTTAAAGGGCCAGAAGGTTGAGGACCACTGCCTTAGAGGACAGGAAGAGCCCAGGTCTAACCACTGAACCACTTCATTGAAATGGGCAACTCGTTTCCAGACCCACGTCAATGGGCCTTAGACCCTGTGTCGCCAAAGCCGGGTTCCCTGCGTGTTTTGGATGTGTCAGGCAATGGCCCTGTTCCTCAAAGCTCTGGCCAGCTCAGTGGACAAGAAGCTTCCCTTGGGCAGTAATGCTTCTGTGCCCGTTGCCCTCTGCTGGTCTCTTGGGATGCTGCTCTGGGTCACTGTGCCCCAGGCATCAGTGCTCTCTAAGTGTTCTGCCTCCTGATGATTCTCCACAGAGAGTGTAGTTTTATTTTAGTTTTTCTCCCTTTTCCCAGAGTTTGGTTTGCAGGTGGGTTACAGCTCTCCTGCCTGTTCCCATTGCCCTACGCTTCAGGCTGTCTAGTGGGCATTGGTGCTTGCCAGGTCCCCGGGGCCATCTCAGGGATCCTCCACACAAGAATGGGGATGCGACCTCTTCCCAGGTCTTGGTACCTTGGACGGCTGGCACATGATTCGAGGTTGCAGTGACACCACACCCCCAATAAGGATCAGCGCCCTGGGGCTTTTTTTGCTGGCTCTGGAGCCCTGTCTTGTTTCCTAAGAGCTGGTAATGCGACCATCTTTTTCTCCCAAGCAAGCCTCGGGTGGCCTGGACAATCTGTTTTCCAATCTGGAGGATTGCCCTGCAGACAGTCCCTGCATCCACCTGTCCCCGTGGTGCAGTCAGCATGGCTCATGCTGTCTTCAGTGACACCTTACGGCTCGGCCTCTTTAACCTCAGCACAAAGGCAGAGGGGTTTCTCCGTCCTCCTGGCTCAGGATCCCAAATTAACACACGCCTCCCTGCTTCTCTGCACTCTGCTCAATTCGCCTTGTGTCATGCATCAACCCGTCTCCCCCCAGGCCTGAGGAAGGCACTTGGTGCTTGCAGGCCACAGCTGACTCCCAACACAGGGAGGGCCTCGGAGACTTTCTGCCATCTCTGTCACAGAGGAGCCTCTCTGCATTGAAGTGTCTCCATGGTGTGGCCTTGGCCCAGTCAAGAGCCTCCCCTCCACTTGCTGGCACTGCC